TGCATTGCTATTTTTCTTTGTTTGCATTGCTAATTTGTGTGTGTTCAAAGTTATTGAGGTTTGCATTATGTAGGCCACCATTAGGCAGCTACATGGGGTTGCATGTTGGTGCATGGGAGGGAAATAGACTGGCATTACACAAGTGGGGTCCCAATCAAGTATGGGGATTGGGAACTAGTTTAGTGGTTGGGTCATGAGTCATGAGGTCATGAACTCCTATATGGGGTAGTTGTTGTAATGTTGGCTAATGGTACATGTAATGGGGTTGTGATTAGTTTTTGGATTCTGTTTTGGGTTATATAAATTGATTTTGAAGCAACTAGTTCTTGGTTTAATGGTAGTTGTATTAATTTAGCTGGTAATGTTTTAGGTTAAATTCTTCTACATGCAAGAATAATACATTTGGCAGTTTAATTTGATGTTGACAGTTGTCTCCACTCATCTTAAGTTCGACTAACTCACTTTATTAGTATTTGTGATGAATTCAATACCTAGTTGTAAGTTGTAACTAGCTCAATTAAAGTAGCCTCTTAGCACTTGTCTTCACTTATCTCAGATTCGACTCACTTGATTTATTAAGACTTTTAACGAAATCAATATCTAGTTATGACTAGCCAAGTTATAGTGATGTAACTTTATTATTGGTGTGGTGGCGGTAATATATGTATACAAAAATCATATACACAATATTTCAAAATAAAATATATTTGATTTTGTAAAGTCTGTTTCAAGTTTTGGCATAAGAGTAGGGGTTGGGTTTGTGGATATATCCAAGAAAGGGGAATGGAAGGGAAAGGGGAGTTGATTAAAGAACTTTTGTTTTTTGGTGAACGATTAAAGAAGAAATGGAAAGCAAGAAAAAGGAGAGAGGAAAACTCGACCCTTCCTTCTTCATGCTGTTCTTTTGCCCATCTCCCACTTCTAAGTTTCTGACATTTCTTATGAGGCCTTCAAACTTCATTAGTCTCATGGCCCCACATGTTGAGTTTGATGGTGGGGTCCACTAAATAATTGGGACAAAGCATCTCTATGCTTAATCTTGGTTTAGCAGTCGAAAAATGGTAAGAATACTCTTTCAAAAGTGAGATTTTTTATAGACTTTTTGTTATCTTATATTTTTTCCACAATGTTTTATAATATTAACACACGTTAAACTGTGATGTGGTAAAAAGTCCATAAAAAATCCGATTTTGGAATAGTGTTCATAACATTTCTCCTTGCAGTTTTAGCTCAAGTTGGTTTGCTGCATCTGCGGCCTGCCCACCAAAATGAAGAAATGAATCATCTTAATTATATTATCTGTTTTTATCTCAGTTTGGTAGGAGTATCTAAGTCCCTGAATGTAAAATTTAATCACACAATATCTAAATATTGATGAGTGAGATTGACAACATTTCGGTTATTGAAAGAGTGCATTTTTTGGGTGCTGAAAATAAATGAATAGTGGGGTTTTCACAATTGACACTTTCATAAGATGTTTTGGGGACATACAATTGATGATATATGAAAAAAGTAGTTAGCTAAAAAGTAAATATATTTAAGGGCATGTCTGAGAAAGTGAGGAGCAATGCATAAATGTAAAGTTATGATCTACTCAAGCCACATGTCAATTTCACAAAGTAAATCCAAAGCAATTATGCAGTACAATTGATGTTAAAAGTAATTTTTCTTAGTTTAATATACATTGTCGGTGTTTTATTTATTTATTTATTTTTTACAATTTAAGGGCTCATTTGGAAGCTTATTTAAAATAATTGAGAGCGCTATTGGAAAAAAATGTTTTTGAGTTCCAAAAGCAACAGGAAGTGTTTTTCCAAGTTTCACTAACATTTTTACTAATTAAAGATTGGTATAAAAAACATATTATCAAAAGCGCTTTCAGTTATTTTAAAAGTATTTCCAAATAAGCCATAAAGTTTCGAGTCTAATATGGTATCAAAGTTGTAGTTTTTTCATGAGGTTTCGTTGTGCTGTGAATCCGTCTCTGCTTAAGCTTTTGAGGCTTAGTAGTTTTCTAATATGATATTTCATGAGTTTTCGTTGCATTGTGTATCTTTCTATGGTTAAAACTCGGATTCCAAGAGGTTTCGTTGTGCTGTGCATTTTTCTATGCTTAAGTTTTTAGGACTTAGTGGTTGTCCAATATGGTATTATACTTAAATTCGTGAGGTTTCGTACGTTGTTTGCTTAATCTTTTGGAGCACAGCAGTTGTCTAAGAATGCCAATCCTTGATTTTTAAGCTTCCCAGTTACAATGATAGCCAAAGAAGCCGACCTTCTTAAGTCTGCTTAGCTGAGGTTTAACAAATACATGTTGTTGGAGTGAGGGTCTGCTGCTTTGGTAATCTACGTGCAAAATACGCAATACGTTAGCTTGTTTTTTGGTTTCCACCAAACAATATATGCATGGAGTTTATATGCATGGCATGGAGTTTCGTACGTAATTCGTATGACATACACAAAAATAGTATAATCTATATCAATTTTACTATTTTAATTAGCTAGCTGTGATGCTACAACCTGGACCAATCCATCAATGGGATGTATGTATTAGCTATGCATCGGGATTCTCTCCTTTCTCATTCTCCTCTTATTCAGTTTCCTCTTTTTTTTTTTTTTTTTTCTTTCTTGCTCTATAATGAAAGCAACATAAAATGTTAACATAGTTTAATCGTTAACATTTAAATAAGAACAAACTTGAGAAGAGGAAAATAGAAAAGAGAAAATCCTACTCCATTAGCTATAACCTTCTAATTAATTAGTTGGTTAATAAGATAATGATAATCCAACTAAAAAAAACATGAAAAGTAAGAAATTGGCATGTGATGTGTGTGCATGCCAGTTGCCACCACTACCTTGGACTCTCACCCTTAAGTTATGATTGCTGCTTCCCATGATCCAATCAAGATCTCTAGCCACTCATCGATACCACTCACGCACCAGAAAATATAAGAATTTGGTTATCATATATTTTTTAATTTATACAAAAAAAAAAAAGGTTATCATATTAATTTGTTTTTATTAATTATCACATTGAGGCAAAGAGCACCACTTTTGAATATTTCTTGACGACCTTGAACCTACTTTTCGTAAGAAACCCCAAACCCTAATTCTGAAACTAGAATCTTCTTTTGGATATATGACGAATTTTTCTTCAATAGTCTGAAACTTCGAAGTAGTTCAGAAATGAACGGTAAAGTTTTACTCTAAAAAAATCAAATGATAAAAATTATTTAAAAAAATAAAAATTAATAAAAAGGATTTGAAAACTTTGAGTTTTAACGATAAGGACAAAATAAAAGGTAAAGTGAATAGTACTAGGATTAACTTTTTAGTGTAAAAATATTATTTTTCGTTAAAGTGAACAGTATCAAGAACTTTCCGTTAAAGTTCCCTTTAAAAAATTGACCTAGTAAGACTTGAACTGCAAAAGACAAATCGGGAAACCAAATTGCACAGTTAACCTTAAAAAAATTAGGGATATTTGATGGGGTAGTTGAAGGTAGGTCTAGTTGCATGAATGTCACTAACAAAGACCATATTGTTCAACGACTTCACTCATATATAATTAAGATCATGGTGTAAATATATTAAGAGGAGCTAATTAATCAACATATGTCCTTCCTTGGTGAATACGTTTTTAATATCTTATTTATGAGCAAAAGTTAGAAGAACCAGTAGGACAGGTCACAGACTAACAAGGACAAGACAAACAAATAAGTAGATGTGTTGTTTTTTGGTTCAATTATTTAATTATGCTTCTTATCTTGTAAAAAAATTTCCTTTAAATTGAAGAAATCACTAGTTCAAGTGGAGGGATTCATTTGTCAAAAATACTTTTTATTTAACAAAGATTTTTCACTGAAGGACCCAACTGATTTACGGTGGACAATCACAAGAACCACTACTATCGATTTTAAATATCAAGAATCAAAATAAAGAATTATGCTAATCTCAAAGACAATTTTAGTTAAAAAATATTTATTTAAATTATTTTTTTTACAGATCTTTTTGACTCACAAATAATTAAAAAAAAAAGAATATATAAATATTTAAATCATTCACGAATATGCTTTTAGGTTTGGTTGCATGGACTTATCATAATAATACGCTTTTAGACTGTTAGGTTGGGTTAATTATCATTGTTATAATTAAGGTTACTCTATATATAATATCAATTCCTGTAGAACATAACGAATATATATATATATAAAGAGTGGATCCGTGACACCATTTTTTTACATAATTTTGGCACATGTTTTGTAAGATCCATTTCATTATGTATTTTAACGATCAAAATCGTCTATATTTTATAACATCATTTGTAGATCATCCTTGTGAAAAATCGGAAAAATCTAAAACTATTAAGACATTCATTTATAATACCCAAAATTGATAAGACACATTATTAATGCATTCTACAGGTTTTAGTAAACACAAGGTTGAGAATCATACTTATTCACATACATGACGAGTAAACGTGCCCTCAATTGCGCCCAAAATCAAGTTATTTTGGTAGTCTGGTATAATCTAGTATCAAACTTGACAAAAGATATAAGGCTCGTTTGAAAGTGCTTTCAAAATGATTGAAATCATTTTTGGTGAAAATATTTTTAGAACCAATCTTTAGTAAAAATATAAATAAATCTTAAAAAAAACATTTAAAATGCTTTTAAAATTCAAAAATATTTTATCTAAAAACGATTTCAATCATTTTAAAAGTACTTCTAACAAGCTCATACTTTAATCTCTCCCTAAAATGAGCTTTAAGATTCATGATTGCTTGGAGCTAGACTTGTACCGCAGTTGATGGGTCAATCAAGAAGGTAGGTCTCAATGGAGATATGACCCATTATTCTCTTATGTCCCCTCTACATAATGTTCCTACTATTTATTTGGTTTTAAACTTTATTCCAACAACCTTCAATGATTAGACGGTGGTGTAGCATCAATCGTGCATGCTTAGATTTTATTTTTTTTATTTTTTTTAATTTTTTGAGATTTTTTTTGACAATTTCTTGATTTATGCGTGTCATCCTTGCGCAAAGGTCATGCTAATTTTCTTTGTGTCGTTCCAATTTTATCAGATGTCCTTGAAGGGACTGAATGCTTAGACCTTATAAATGCTAGAATTAGTAATGTCCCATTCACTAATCATGTATGCTAAGATTTTATTTACTTAAGTAGGTTGTTATCTCATGTATGTTAAGAGACGGAAACACACATGAAAGAGAAAACAAACTTTAAGAAAAAATATGAAGTACTTAGAACTAACAAAAGATATAGCGCAAAACCGAGCGAATGACGTTTTATGATTTATACAGCCGACTTCACTTAGTGGGATAAAGCTTGGTTGTTAATTGTTGTTGTTGTAAGAGACGGAAATACACACGAAAGAGAAAAAGAGATGTGCGGTAATCATTTTCGTAAAACAATGAGTGATACTTTAACCGTTTCCATTGACTTAAAACACAGCAGGATAAGAAAATTGCTTTGATGGGGGAAGATAAATTCCAAACATTATGTCAATGGCCATGATGGTACAAGGAAAGTTAAAATTTGATTAACATGTCTAATCAGACATTATTCAAGTTGACCCAAATTTGTGTGCAGGGTCACAAGTTGAATTGATGAACTCACTTTTAAGTCTTAAAAACTAGTAATTGGTTGCTAAAGAGCCCAACCTATGGCAACTTGCAAGCAGCTGTTTGGTCTTTCGACTTGTGCTGTCCAAGCATCTCGGCTACAGTTCTGCATCGGCATTGGTTTCCTGGGCGGATCACGTCACCATATACGGCCATTTCGATTATGTCAAGCTCCTTATCTGCAAGTAAAAGAGATGTGTGATCATGAGATACGAGTCTCACCAGTTCTAATAACTAACTAGCTTCCAAGTAGGCCAGAATGAACACCAAAAGACCACAAGGTTCAAAGCAATGTGCCAACAAAGAAAATCACAACTGTGTTGACTCGGATAGAAAGGCAATCAGAAGTTCGGACAAATGTTTTTGAATGTTGAAAGACTCAAATTACACGTTCGGACAGAAGTTCGGACAAATGTTTCTTGGAGAAAGCGGCCCAAGTTGAAAATTTCCATTCCCTTTTCTTTAAATTTGGAATTCGTTGAATGATTTACTTTGTATAATGAACAAATATCATAAATCTTGAATCAGATCTAGGTTTATGAAAATATTCCGATAACAAGATCTGATGCTCTTTATGTTCAGGAACAAGCAATAGGAAGTCAAGGATATGGCGAAGGATCAGGGGAAAAGGTTTCTCTGAGAATAATTGCAGAAAGTAATTACGAAATTAAGTGGAAACGTCGTTATCAGAAAAAGTTCAGAGCAAAGGTATAGCCTAAACTACAGTGTGCCATTTTCACTTTGAATATAAGCCAGAGACAATGTTCATCCATCCCTTCTGCTTAGATAATTGATCATGAGTTAATGTCTCTAGACACAAAGCTCCGAACTTTTTCCATAACGAAAGGCATACTAGAACAGTAGTACGAGTGAACCTGAGTAATTTGTATTTCTGATTTCATATTTACACCAATAAGAATATGATATGATGTCAATTCTCAATCGGGACAAATGATGAGGTTATGTAACTCAACAAAGACCAAGCTAGCCAAACTCAACCGTTCAGTCCATCCTATAAACTAACCCACAACCCTCTTAGCACACCTACGTTGTGAACAGTGACCCCCGACTAGAACATTTACAAAGCATTGGATATACTGAGACATAAAGTCGCACCATGACTAAAACCAGTATTGTACATATGGACCTAAAACATATATTCTCATTGCGAATCTTTGGACACTTCAGATCAGAAAAACAGTTTATAAGCATTGTTCAAAATGGTGACAAATTGGGGATGACACCCAAAATTGTTATCAATGGAACATAGGAGCATCAGGTCACGTAGATTCACCAAACACGTTCTAAACTATGATTATAGTCATGTGCACTCGACTTGAAAACAATCCCCCCTAAAATCATTAGATACGAACCACAATGACGAATTGTGTTTACGATTCAAAGACAAAACCATTATGCTCGACCCAATAACCACAATTCTGGGTTCCAAACTAAATAGATCAGAACTCCGAATCTAATATTAACAGTGAAGAAGAGAACGCGAAAAACTTACCTGTAAACTTGACATCACAAGAGTAACCTTTCAATTTATCTGTATCGATTTTGTCTTTGTCTGATTTGAATCTGTTTACCCTTGTTTGAAGAATCTGACAATTTTCTTCTGTGGATTCACCACCTACAACACAACCCCAAATCTCGATTAATTCAAACACCAAATTGGCTGACAGATTAAAGCCCACATTAGCATGTTTACTGCTGAGGAACAGCACAGAAAAAACTTCCGAAATTTTTTGCCTCAAAACGCCATGATTTTGAATTTGAACAATTCAAAAAGTAAAAAAATCAAGTAAATTACATATCAATTAGAGTCAGCGAAAACCCAATAAAAGCACAAATACCAATATCGAAATTCAGCTCAATTAAGTAGTATATGCACTAAAATGCTAAATTTCAAAATACCCAGTTCAAAATCATCAAAAACCAATCAAATTATTGAAACTTTGCAATAAAATTGCTAAAATTCAAGATACCCAGTTCAGAATTCATGACAATCAATCAAAAGATTGAAACTTTGTGGAAAGAATTTTGAAACTATCTAGTTGAAAAGAGAGGAAGTTGTGACCTTTGGAGAATGGAACGATGTGATCGTACTCGAAGCAGAGGCAGCCCTGGCAGTTGCAGAAGCGCTTACAGACGACGTTGCCGGCGGCGTCTTGCCGCCACCGCTCAGGGTGTCGGCCCGGCACCACATCCGCGTTTGCCCAGCACTTGCTCTTCGTTTTTGAATCGAAGAACCGTGGTCTTTCGTCACCCTTGCTCTTCGGCGAAGAACTCATCACACCCTCCCCCCCCTCTCTCTCTTCTTGAACTGGAAGTGGAAGAGACATAATCCGAAAGTTTCTAGAGAGAGAAACTTTGCCATGTCAGATCGCTGACGTGGTCCCCGGGCGCCAATCATATTGTACCACTTGTAATAACCTCCCGCCACTTTCTTAGTTTGCCAGGAATTGGATCCTCTCCTAGGCAAACCCTTGGGATATTCCTTACCCACTAACACTGACCGTTGGATTGGATTTTGATCCAACGGCAACAAACATGAGGTTCTTTTAAAAGTTATAATAATTGTAACTATTTAATCAAAATCCAACAGTCCGTGTTATTGAATCAGGAAGATCTCGATGGTTTGCCTCGGAGAGGATCTAATTCCTTAGTTCTGATATGATCCAACGGTTAAAGATGACACCCTCAGTCTCTCCCTTCTTTTGCTTTTCCACTTGTTTAGGGTATCTATTTACTTACGGGAATAAGAACTGAAATCACATTTAGTTTTCTGCATTTATTAAAATAGAGGTAAGTGAACCATTTCTTAATTTTTCTTGCATTTACTTACCACTTACAAGTAAAGAATCGAAAATTTTTAAGTGTTTTCTTGAAGTTCGTAATTAAATACTTAAAAATTAAGAATTAAATTGACAAGAGATGTCTAGTTGATTTGAGTCTCTATCCTTTCTTCTCCTATTGTTTGCAAATTATTTTTGTGAAAGCGATTTCTGCACATACTTTTTACCGATAGTTTGAACTTTGAACACTTACTTTTAATTCTCTCTCTTAAATTCTTGCCATGAAAAAGCTAGGAGTGTGCATGAATCATTTTCTTTTTCTTTTATTTCTTAAGTTTTGTTTTGTTTTGTGTTCACAAGTTTTGCATATCTGAATAGCACAAAAAGGAACGAGTGTCACAATTCTTTGTTTAAGATTTTCATATTTCCAAAATATGACGAGGGTAAATTCGTAAAATTCCGCACATCCTCAAAATTCTTCTGCTCGAATGGCATCATTGGGCATTTCACAGGCATCTTTCGGCCTTGTTTTCTTCACACCGGCAACGAACCACACTACAAACGTGGATAATGCATATCTAGATGTGAGTCACATGTTGAATTTTTAATGTGTGTATATATATGGAGATGGATCCGTGATACTATTTTTTTTGCACAATTTTTTGACACAAGTTTTTCGAGTCCTAATAATGTATTTCAACAATCTAAACCGTTTTATATTTAGGTCTTTCCTAAAATACCATGTCTACAAAAAATCATTCAAATCTGAAAACCATATAATTGTTAGATTAAGGGTTTAGGGTTTCGTAGAACCGTATTCATCCATTTCTTCATATTAAATTAATGTCTTAATGATTTTGAATTTGTCTAATTTTTTTGCAAGAATGATTTATGAATAACGTTTTAAAAGACAGAAAGTTCGGATCGTTGAAATACATTAATAGTTGGGCCCGAAAAACTTGTGTAAAAAATTGTGTAAAAAATATGGTGCCACAAATCCATTCCCATTATACATACCATTAATTACCAAGAACAAATTGGACTTAGCACACAAGTGCGCAGGCATATTCTTGTTGTCCATCTATATGTCACATTGTCCAATTACATTTGTTGCTCCCCATCTTTAGAACACAGAAGTGTTTAAATTCTGCCGAACGTTTCTGGTGATCAATCCAAAGCACTGGCGGAACATACACAGGAGAACCTTCACCTTATTCTGCAGCGCATCCTCCAAAGCAAATAAAACAATGTTACATTCCATCATTAATCCCCAGAATTCACATCAACTTTTCAGGAGATATAACTGACTGGGAAACATGGGGGAGATTGATACAAAACCAATTGAACCAGTCCAGGCTGCATTGTGCCTGTTTGAAGAGAAGAACGATCACCGGAAAACCCGGCTTTCCGGCACAGATGTAAGTGATCGTGTGTGTACACATGAACTGGTATGGTAACAGCCTAACAGCTCAGTTCGATAGGAAGATCCTTCCTTTTAAGTTTGAGTTGTGATATAGTTTCCTAGTCCAAACTTATAGCTTCATTTTTTTCTGTTTATGCATTTATGCTGTGTATTTAAAGATGTGATGGCAAAGTCAATTTGGCTAGAGCAATCTGCTTGTACTTTCGCAACCAAGTTTAAATCTCACTCTTCGTAATTTGGATTAAATTAGAATATTGCTCGAATAAAATGAAAAAAAAAGTGATGCATGATCATTATTAGGTAATTTCGAGGATTACTAGGGTTCCATATGTTAGGATAATGTGAAAAACTAATTCACATCGGAAATTTAAAAGTTTTGCGAGAGTTTATAAGGAGCTGAGCTGCTCCCACTATTGTCAATTAATTGTTAAGGAGTTGTGCTCTATGTCACCCTAATAAATTTATTCATGTATTAGACTTGAAATTTTTCACACATAAAAGGGGATGTGAAAGATTTGAACTATTGTCCCACATCGCATGGTTAAGAAACTTTGCAAAAGTAAAACCTCAACTTTCTTCACCAAATTTGATTTGGTAGTGCTTATGGAAATGTATATTTGAAGATGGTAATTAATACCAGAACTGATTTACTAAATACATAAGGACAATCTGGTAGTTTGTATGTAACCATACCCTTGATAGGCTGTTTTGGCATGCAGATATTGTTCTTAAGTTTGTTGATTCCGACAATGTTTTGCAGAAGGATAGTGAGAAAGAGAGAGAGCTTGAAGGTGTGTTGAAGGATTTGGCCAATTACAAGGTGCAGCTGGAAGCAAAAGATGCTTCCTACATGCAAGCCCTTCTCAAGCTGCAACACCACGAGTACACAGCGGAGGAACTCTCTGCCCTCCTTGAAAACATCGAGTTTGAGAGAGATAAGTGCGTCGAGGAATGTAAAGAGGCTCGGGCGCAGATATACCAACTCGAATCCAAGGTAAAGGAAATGGGGGATCAGCTGTCTGAGACTCAGAAGGTGAGAGAGCAACTCATGCATGTTTTTAGTGAGTTGAAGGCTACACAATCAGAGCTGCTTGGCATGGAAACAAAACTAGCGGACGCTAGAGATTCGGAGCTAAAAGCTCTAACGCAAGCGGAGCTAATGGAAACAGCTTTCGTGATGGAAAAGGAGAGGGTGGAAGAGCTTCTTAAACATGTCTCCGAGCTAAGTGAAGCCGTGGTTAAGTCAAAGGTTGCTGCTAGTGAAACAGATAAAGAGAAGTTGGCGATATTATCTGCGAAGGATACTGAGATTGAGTTAGCTACACAGGCTGCTCTTCAAGAGCAGGAGCAGCTCGAATATTCTAAGAAACAAACGGTGAAGATGGAGGAGTTGGAGGATCAGCTCCTCGCCAAGTCTTCGTTCATTGAGATGCTTCAGCTGGAGATTAAACAGGTGAATGAAAACCTTAGTTTCTCTAAGATGGCGTCTTCTGATGCGATGAATGACTTGAAGCAGCTGGAAAAAGAGTTAGAAGAGAAGGAAAGAAAGATCTCGGATCAGGAAGGTTTCATCGAGGGGCTAGAAATGGAACTGAATCAGTTAAAATTGGAGCTTAGTGATGCAAATCAAGTGGCCAACAGCCTGAAGCACGACATTGAAGTTCTTACTGAGGATTTACAGAAAGCAAAAATGCAGCTTGATGAGATGGCGGAAAGGGAAAACAATGCGCAGGTTGAGATAGCAATGCTGGAATCTGAGCTTCATAGAGGGAGGTCAAAAATTGCAGCAGCAGAGGCAGCTGAAGAAAGAACCGAAAATGTTAAATCGGGGCTGTACCTTGCGATTCATCAACTAGTAATAGAAGCCGAGACTGCCAAGATGGAAAACAGAATGTTAAAGCAAGGAGCAGATAGCGCAGACAAAGAAACTGACGAACAATCTCCCCTTTTTGATTCTAATGAAGATGCTGAGGTTTCCAAAACTGGTGAACTTAAGGACGAAGCTGAAGAGCGAAAGGAAGAGAACGATTCCTATGTAACAATTTCATTGAAGGAATACAAGTACTTGGTTAAGAAGGCTGACCAGGCTGATCAAATTCCTTTGTCGTTGGTGGAAGCCTTTAGTCGTCAGTTGAGCTTCAGCACCGCAGGAGATAAGTCTGAGTTGGAACATTTGAAGAAGGAGTTGGAAGCTGCAATGGAAAAAGTTGCGCAATTCAGGAACCGGGCTGAGCAGGCTACTACTAGGGCCGATCTTGCCGAGAGAGCGAAAGAAAGACTAGAGGACCGGATAAGGATTTGGCGAAAGGTGAAGCAAAAGAGAAGAGCTGCTCTTGCTGCGCTTAGGGAGGTGTCTCTTCCTAAACAATTTAGCCCTCCCGCATATGAATCTCCAGATGAAATTAAGCCTCCTGCATATGAATCTCCAGATGAAATTAAGCCTCCTGCATATGAATCTCCAGATGAACTTATGCATAATGCATCACAAGAAACACAAAAACCATATCCGCAATTGTGTGACGTACTTAAAATGAAATTCTAGCCTTCTTTTTTTTTAAGATTAGACAAGCTAAATAATTGTTCATGTGAGAAGCACATACTGCTCGTTGAATCCATGTATTCAGTTATCATTATTAATACCATTTTCTTGTTTCTAATGTGCTTTTCCTTTCCAAATGTATTCCTTATGCTTCCGTTTGCACGCGTTCGTCTTCCTTTCTTATTTTTAAGCGATCCGTTTCCTATGTCAGAAGGTTCATTCAAACATTTCAAACGATTGACAATTTGAGTGCTCCGCGAACCCGGCTGCTATTGAAGCCCGAATGGAAGCAAGCCGAATTCGGGAACTAGAAGAAAGCAAGTATGTTCAAAACATAAGTCGGTCGGAATAGTTACATTATTGTTCAAACTTTGCACAAAACCATTGAAGATCATGATTACCATCACAGGTTAACATCTGCAGATATCAAATCATACTTGTGACGTGAGTTCCCCTTTCTCTAAGTTTGACTAGAGGTTCGTGTCCTTGAATCCAAAGTAATTTGTTGAAAAAGATTGTAACATCAGTTGATCTTCACAACCTGTCACATAGACAAAACCTACCACAGCATCTTTACCCTATTAGGGAAATCTAAGCCGGAACGGATTCAATCTGAGGATTAGGAATTATGAAAACTTAAACCCAAAAGTGGGTTAACAGATTTGGACTTAACCAAATTGGCTAGAACAGTGCACTTATTTTTGTAGCCAAATTCTGATTCTCTTTCTCGTAGTTTAAATGAATTTAGCGTTCTATCATTTGTCAAAAAAGGAAAAAGCCGACGTGGGTTTTAGGTTTCGAGCTGTGGCTAGCAGCGTAGCAGGCACGTAGTTGGTAGGAGCCGTAGTGTGAACCTGTGAACTTAATTTTTCTCCATATACTACCACTGACGTCAAGTCTTAAATAAAGTTTGAACTTGAAGGATTTGGAATGCAATTTCAGAAGGGTCTGAAGTCTCTGCACACGGGTGGTGTGGAATTGTTTTACATGCTTGACCATACAAATTGCGTTGTAATTTGACTGGGATAGTCGTAACCCTACTATCGTGGTAAGGACTAAGGAAAAAGGATGTATTAGCACTTTTTTTTATATATATTTTTAATTTTTTTTTAAGAAAACCTTGACCAAACGATAGAAATTTTATTAATAATGAAAAAAATGAGCTGCACTTAATCATGGGGACATGAACTTAACTCTTCATAGCATAAGAAAAAATATAAATAAAAAATATTAATAAGGAGGATATAAATTTACCCCTCTCGCTCCCTCTGTCTCACTCTCCATTTGTATCTCTCCCTCTCTCTCTGCCAATCTTGTAACAATCCATATGCCTCCTCAAATCATCACCATATCAGCTCTAATTCAAGCTCCACGGTACTGATTTAATTCAACAATCAATCATCAAACCATTGGGTGTGTCTGTGACGGTTTGGCTAATTTGTTCGTTGTATTTTTATTTTTAATTAATAGTTGACAAAGTTAAATCGCGTTAATTAGTTTGAGAACATGTGTCAAGCAATGAGTTAAAGACACACAGAGATCAGAAAGAGTTTTGGAGGCTGAAGATTTGGACTCGTTTATTACCTTGTAATTTCATTTCCATAATTTATTAACAAATACCTGCAACTTGGGGGTGCAAGCAGTCACTATAAGCGTGTGAGATTTTAGTATAAATAAATTCCCTTTCTTTGCTTCTAATTTCCATGATCTTGTCTCCTGTTGTATTATTATCTTTGTTGATCTTTCTTTTGGCTTTTATTTTTCGACCTCAGTCCAAAACCTTATTTTTGAGTGGAATTATTAAATCGCCAATGGCCGGCCATCAAAATTCAAAACCCAATTAAATATTTTCTGGAACTTATGGCTGAGAGTGTAAAAGTAAATTGAGCTGCAAATATATATGATTAAAATCTCTAAATTCATCTCAATTATTCATTAAATAAAGAGAAAAAGAACCCATTTCTGTATGTCCAAATTCTATTACATCATCATCAGTAGAGGATAAGTGCTTCAATTTTTTTTTTTTCATAAATGAGGATAAGTGCCTTCGCCCATGAGCGGTAGGTCTCGGGTTCGAGACTTGGGAGCAGCCTCTCCATAAATGGGGGTAAGGCTAGCCGACATTCACCTCTCCCAGACCCTGCTTAAAGCGGGAGCCTTGTGCACTGGGTACGACCTTTATTGTGTTGTTTTCATACCCTTAATTTCTTTTTCTTTTTTCATGTTAATTTATGAAGGCAAATTTTAAAAGAGCTTCCTTATGTGCAACAAATGGTTCTCTTATTTTTATCAGACTTATTATATGCTTGAGCTTGACTACATTGTGCTTGGCATTTTCTTTTATTTAACTTATTTATTTGAATGAGTTTGCGATAGTAGCGATGACAACAAAAATCTTTACTTTATAACTGAGAAGCGTCCAATATTAATGAGTATTAAAAAGTAGTATAGAGTAATAATATCGCTTAGGTCGGTGAAACCCTTGTATGAAAGGAATATTTTCAGTTATATAAAGATTTTCCAAACCACAACACGTGTGACTAGATCAGAACAAAAGTTATCTGATGCTCTCCGTGTCACACCATACAAAGATAATACGTAGTTGACAATAAAAGTCTTCACTTTGACTATGAATTTGTTAATTACTCAATTAGAATATGATAATCAAGCAAATTAGGAACCACCCCACGTCCCTTAGGTACCGTTTGGTACGTGGGACGGGACAAGCTGTTCCGTCCCACGTTTGGTGTGCCTAAAAACTGTGGAACGGGTTGTCCTATGGGACGAAATTTGGCTAATTTTTCGTTCCACCTTTTCTCTCTGGAACGACCCGTTCCACATCCGTAGAACACAAATTTATAACATTTTATGACAAAATTTCTCCTTATCTTTTTCAATATTTACATCATCTGTTCTGTCCTGTTCCGTCTCGTCCCGTCCCATCCTATTCCGTCCCGTCTGCGTACGGTACCTTAATGCGTTTGGTACGCAGACGGAACGGAACGGGACGGGACGGGACGGAACGGAACGGGACGGGACGGGACGGGACGGAACGGGACGGGACGGAACGGAACGAAGGTGTAATTTTTGAAAAAGACATGGGGTATATTTGTCTTAAAATGGTAAAACATTGCGTTCCACAAACGTGGAACAAACCCGTTCCAGGGAGGGAGGTGGAACGCAAAAACACTCAAAATCTGTCCCGTGGAACAGCCCGTTCCACCCATTTTTGGCGCACCAAACGCGGGACGGAACGCCTCGTCCCGTTCCGTCCCGTCCCGTCCCACGTACCAAACGCACCCTAAGTACATGAGTGGAATAGTTCCCTATGCTGTGAATCCAAATCCACGATCACGACCTCTGGTCGACCCACAGATGCCTTTGAAAACCTCCAAGCACGAGAAATTGTCCAGTGTTTCGATAAGATAGTTTGATATATTAAATATAGTAATATAATTGAGTGAAATTTTTTTCTAAGTTTTTAGCAAATTGTATTATAACATTTGTAGTATCAGATTATATTCTCGACACAATAAAAAATCTCTCTAAATGCATGGACTTGTTTTTGTATATCCCGACCGCGCCCTGGCTTAGATAAACAAATTTGCCCATGAAAAATGAAAAAGTAGATTAAAAAAAATGTCCTTTGACCGATCAATTTTATTTCTATGGATTTATATTAAGGAATTAGTTATTCTTCAGATTCTTACACTAGGAATCGCGGAGATCAATTAATAACAATCCTATCATCTAAGATCGTGTAATTACAGTTTTTTATTATATATATTTTTCACGCAAAACAAGTCTATCTTACTATTAAAATATAAAAAACATTTAATTGTAATGGATCGCACGATCTTTAATGAACGGTTGATATTAATTGATCTCTAAAATCCCTAATGAAAAGATTTGGAGAGGATCTAATAATTCCTTACATTAAGCGTGTAAAAACAGTTTATAAGAACCCTAGCTTTATTTCGTTTTCTTATTAGTTTTCTGTCTGATCTATATGGGAATTTTTGCTTGTTTTGTACTTAGTACATGTAATATTTTTGTTTTATAATAAAGTACTGGTATTAGGACATTTTGGTTTTGATATTTAATCCCAAAAATGCGAAACAAGCATATTTTTTTTTCACACAAATTGTAATTCGAGAACCACCACAGTGTGGTTGGAAACGAATTTCAGATTCGTATTCTATAAGGACGTCCTGAGTTTAATTTCTAGTACTGATGTATCATACGATCGTGGTTAGGGAAAGCTGAAATACTGCGTGAGTCTTTCTAGTCTCTGAAAGAATGAACAGCAGTGACGAAGTCACCAATTATTATTATTATTATTATTTAAAAAAAAAATTGTAATTCAAGTCTCATCTTCAAAAGCGTTATAGCCTACATGAAGTGAAAAATCAATGAAAAGTTTGTTCTAATCTCTTATTTAGAAAAGTAAAATAACATCCCTAATTGGCCAGCTCTATCAGTGTCTTGAAATTAATTTTTCCCAGACTTGGATTGCATGAGCAAAAAGACCAACAAGCATATATGTGCTCCTTCTCACATTGTAAGGGTCCCATGTATTAGATCCAGAAGTTGTTGGGAAATACCTAAAAGCTTGGGGTTACGAAAAAGAAGGTATTAGTTATATCCAAGGACCAAAATATCGGCGAAATATCATCGATATTATCATTTTTTTCATATGACGATATTTCGTGACTTATCTTTTAATTATCGTTAATATATCGCGATATTATCGATAATATTACGATATGAAATAAAAAAATACTTGAAAATTTCTGAAAAGTCTCAATTTTGAGCATAGAAGGATTCAAACCCTTCCCATTTATCTCCTTCAACGCCTTCACCACCATATCACTTATGTTTTTGTGATAATATGTTAAAATATTTATATATATGGTTTTGTTTTGAATTCTTTTTTACAAGAAACAAATTTGCACATATTCCAAAATTTTTGTGGTATTATATTTTAAATTGTGTCAATTAATTACTTAGTCAATGACATGTGGTTTTTAATTTTTCTATTTTTTATTTGGCCACTTACATGGT